TATTTTATTGATTTTTTACAGAGAGGAAGGGAGAAGGATAGAGAGCTAGAAACATCAATGAGAGAGAAACATTGACCAGCTGCCTCTTGCACACCTCCTACCGGGTCCCCCGCAGCCAAGGTACATGCCCTTGACCGGAATCGAACCTGGGACCCTTCAGTCTGCAGGCCGACGCTTTATCTACTGAGCCAAACCGGTTTCAGCGGTTTTATTTCTTATAACAAGCTAGTAAATGCTCAGAGAACCACAGAACAGACCCTGGTGCTAAGAATGTGTTTCAACAATCCGACTCTATTGTCATGAGCTTCATCGCCCTCCTGCCCTGCCCTCACCCCAGAAGAGGAAGAACCCTGACATCCTGAAGCGGAGGTGGCCGACGGCTTCTGCTCGGGTTCAGGCTCCTCGGGGCTGGGCTCGGGAGCGCGGAGTGTCCGCGGTAAGAAGGCGGAGAGTGCAGCAGATCTGGGACACGGAGCTTGGGGGCAGGAGCCGGCGAGTCATGTGGACCATTGGGGAGAGTCAGGTGGAGACGGTGTCCGGTTTCCTGCTTCCTAAGCTGCACAGAATTGACGGTGACGCCTCCTCCTGTCAATGACTGGACCGGGCCACCCCGGTCCCTGGGCTTTCCTGCCCAGCAGCCCTGCAGCGGGGGCAGGCTGCGGCCATCTGCGGAGGCCTCTACCTGCGAGTCCCCTGTCAGCTCCTGGGGAGCTGGGCTGAGAGGGCACAGGTCACTGGTCCACAGGGCCTTCCTGAGTCCGCCGTGCGCCATCGCCGGCTCTGCCTGCAGGGGGCACTGTGGCACCCCCCTCCCCACCCCCCGGAGCAGGGCTGGGCCTACAGTCCTCCAAGAGCCTCTTCAGCACAGCGCCAGCCTCGTCGGGGGCATCTGACAGAAACAGTCCTTGGTCCAGGCCTCAAGCTCGGCTGGGGCCAGCACGCTGTGTGTTATCAAGCCTTCAGGTGCACAGACACTCACGTTTGAAGCCCATCGGACTCCATGGGCCTGGGGCGGGCTGTGGCCATCGGGCTCCTGGATGTTTCCAGAGCTCCAGAGACCCACCCGCTGTGTGCTGGGACGGGCCCTGTGCTGTGAGTGACATGTGAGTGTGGGGATGCAGAGGAAACAGCCCTGGACGGGAAGGAGCTCACAGCACAGCCTCGGGGACGGCACCGAAGTGAGTGCTGCTGAGTACAGAGCAGCTGCCCGTCAGACCCTGCACCCTAAGGGCAGCAGGCGCCCAGGAGCGGCAGGAGCCCTCTTAGAGGGACACCAGCAAAGGGCCCGGCCGGAAGGAGTGGGCGGAGCGGACAGCAACCTGCTCTTCACTGGGCTTGGAGGAAAGCACCGTTTATTTATCTAACAACATTCCCGAGCATCTGCTCTTGCGACCGCTTATTGATGATTTACAGCTTACTGATTTCCCAAAAGGATGCGAGGCGGCTGGTGATGTTAACACACGTCTGACCCGGAATGTAAGCGATGCGGAGAGAGCCAGTCCATTAAAGGAGCCGGGAGCAGGACGCCCAGGCAGCTGGGGGGAACTGAGGGTTGCTGGGAGCAAGGCCCCGGACAGGTCCTCCAGGTTTGCCAAGAGGCACGAGGGCGCTTAGGGTCCACGGGGAAGGCAGAGGGCACGTGAGTAACGTGCGGGCGAGGAGCTGTGGCGGGTTCGAGCTCATTTCCAGCGCGAGTGGTGCCTGTGCCCGATGGCGGAGAGGGCGTGGGCCACGGCTGAGGCAGGAGGAGCCTGGCGGGAGGAGTCCTGAGGCAGAGGGCAGCGGGGTAAAGCGGGGCGGATCGGCGGGAGAGGTGAGACTTCGCACCCTGAAAGGCTGGGCCAGAGCGTGGAGGCCTTCACCTCAGCTGGGGGGTGCGTGTCCGTTTGCCGTCACTGCACCAGGGGAGGAACAGAAGACGAACTCAGCAGAAGCAGGCGGGGCGGAGGAGAGGGGAGGCCACGGGAGGGACGCTTCTTAGGAGCGCGGGCGCAGGCTCTGGGGAAGGTAGGGTGGCCTGAGCTGGGCGGCAGGGCAGGAGGCAGGCCGGCCGCTGGGAGAGCTCTGGGCTCGCAGTGGGCAGCTCACCCTCCGAAGAGTGGTCCGGAGACCACGGCACCAGCATCACCGGGACCTGTTAGAAATGCAGGCCCCGGGCCCAGCTCAGGCGCCATCGAACCCGAGCCTGCGCTTGGCTGGAGCCCGGTGTCTGCGTTCCCCTCGGGTCAGCAGAACCAGCTGCCCTGCCGGGGCCTGCCGGCTCAGTGATGGTCAGAGGGAGGGAGGGAGCTGAGACGGTCGGAGCACAGGCTGGAGGGAGCGTCAGAGCAGTTTGCTCTGAGCCGAGGAGGCCGGACTGCTGCCCAGCGCGGGCTGCGGGCCCACGGGCGGAGGGAGCTCTGAGCCGGAGCGCCCGCACCTCGGCTCCCAATCACTGCCCGAGCCACTGAGTCACTCTGCACAGACTTCCTCTACGAACTTGAGAGACGGCAATATCGCCCCGATTTTATAAGAAAAGGTCCAGATGAATTCATCAGATGGTGGCCAACAATGACGACAGTGATGGTAACAGCAGCATACACCTCCATGTATAGCTTGCTCTTCTGCAGATAAAGTGCTAAGTAACTGGCCACCCAGGCAAATGGATGGTAGTATGCTTACCCAAATTGCCCTTACTTGTTACGGATTTTGCCACCTTTGTATGTAACTTATCTCCTTATTATCTGTCTCCCCAATGGACTCTCTCCAAGTTTCTCAGTACTTACAAGAGCCTTAGGACGAACTGCTTGATGTTGTTTTTTAACGAATGAAAAGTCAGCTGAGTGAGAGCAGCTCTCTGCACGGAGCTCTGAGCATCACGAGGTTTGGTGTGTACCCTGTTTCCCCGAAAATAAGACCGTGTCTTATATTAATTTTTTCTCCCAAAGTTGCGCTAGGTCTTATTTTCAGGGGATGTCTTTATCTTTCCATGCACTAGGTCTTATTTTCGGAGGATGTCTTATTTTCGGGGAAACACGGTACTACATCGCACTTGTTGAAGTATCTGCCTCGTAGAGAAAGACACACGTTCAGTTTTTCTCCCGACCCCTGTACTGAACTGAGGGACAGGAATCTAGTAAGGGCTCAACAAACGTGGGTGAATGAATACATTTGTACCAAATGGTTCTTAAATGTGACAACAAACTCCTGAAGTTCCTCGCAGGGACTAGCCAGATCCTCAGACTCGAAACTAACCGAAGAATGTTGTGGCTCCCGCAAATGTATTTTTATTTGGCCAAGGAAGAAAGGCTGTCATAACAGAAGGTCATGACCTCTACAAAGTTCTAGGAAAATCAACCAGAAAAATGGGATTTTGACAGTGTCATTCCACACGGCACAGGGAACAGGCTGTTCTAACAGAAATAGACCCCTCTTCCAGTTACACCGGCCTCACATCCACGGCAGCAGCATCCAGCCTGCAGCCGGCTTCCTGAGGACGTGTGAGGCCCCCCCCAGGGGAGTATTCTGGGGAATAGCTGCTAACATAACCCGAGAAGGGGGAGAAGTTCAAATCCTAGGTCTGCCACAGGCCAAGTGTGAAACTGTGGGCCATTTACTCAGCCTCTATGAGCCTCGGTTCCTTCCTCTGTCAGGTCAGGAGGAAGCTAACCCACCAGTTCTGACCATTGAGGAAGTCCAATAGTTAGCAGACAGCTCCTGACCCGCTGTCTGGGGTCTGCACAGTAATGCCATGCTCCTGGTCCACCCGCTGCTCTGCCCATGCTCCCGCCCCTCCTCCCGGACATGCCCATCCTGTGAGCAGGGCAGGACCGTCTGCATCCCGTGTGCATGCAGGCACCTGGGACCGCCCCAAAGCACTGTTTGCCTGCGGCCGCGGCAGCCGTCAGCCTTCTCTTCCTAACGATCATCATCGTAGTGTCCGGACGGGCCAGCAGCTCGCCCAGCTGGCTGTGAGGACGGGTTCTTTCACCTAACCTGGGCCGGCCAGCCTGTTTCCAAGCCTCCACCGCATCTCTCATCAGGCCAGGCACTGAGAGCCTGCGGTCCACTGCCCGGCCCCGCGGCGCCCCCTCAGACCAGAGCCCGGCAGCAGGGCGACACGGAGCTCCCGGGCGTCCTCCCTGCCCCGCGCTCTGGTGAAGGATCCGACTTCACCTGTCAGGGAAGGGCCATGGCTGATAAAATGAAGCTCACGGCAGAGGGCCGCCTCCCTTCCATTTCTCCTGCCCTCCAGCCGCCCTCCGCACTGGCCCGCGCTCACGTCTCATGTTGAGGCCGCAAGGGGAGCAGGGGAGCGGCTCTGGGAAGTCCGCAGTGCTTGGGGGTGAGGTTTCCGTAGATCCTCGCTTCCCAAGGCCAGGTGCCTCCCCTCCGGCTTCATCACGTCCCCCCAGCCCCGGGGCTGCACGCCTCTCTGGAGGGACTGACCGTACACGGTCATGCGGGGACGCGGCAAACGCCAAGAGCTGCAAACCGGCAGAGCGTGCGCCTCAGCCTGACGCTCCATGGCCGGGTCCACACCGAACCCCAACAGCCCGCTCCTCCCTCCCCGCTGCAGCACCTCCGGCCTCCTGCCCTGTCTAAACCCGACGAGAGCCGGCTGTGTTTGAACGGGCGACCTTTCCCGGGAGAGCCGGTCAGCAAACCACCGCCGACGGAGCCCGAGCTGCTCTCCCGCTTTGAGGACTTCCTGGCGTCGGACCCTGAGGACCCAGGAATTCCACCATCTCGGGGCTGCTGAGAGGTGAGATGAGGCCAAGAGGAGCGCGACTGAGGGTCTATGCGCAGTGACGGGCACAGCCAGCCTGACTGTGAGCCAGGCACGCACTGAGCACCTCAGGGGAACGCACAGCGCTCAGCAGGACACGCCCCACGTGGGAGGACTGACTGAGCAGTGGCTGTCACTATCAGCTAGTGGCCCGGTGCATGACTTCATGCACACCGAAAGGAAATTAAGTAGAAGCAATATTTTAATATCACTATTCGCCCTTTCTCTACAGTGGAAGTGTCAACCAAATTCACGGTCGACAACGACAGATCAAAACACACGCGTTCAATTGGCGCCAGCGAGAGCTTTCTATGTATCATGCATCCATGAGTCAACTTAGCCTTTTATAGATAGAGAATAAACTTGCTTGATTAGACCTGCTTTCTTTTCTTTCTTTTCTTTTTGATATATTTTATTTATTTTTTACAGAGAGAAAGAGAGAGGGATAGAGAGTCAGAAACATCGTTGAGAGAGAATCATCGATCAACTGCCTAATGCACACCCCCAATGGAGATGTGCCTGCAACCAAGGTACATACCCTTGACCAGAATGGAACCTGGGACCCTTCAGTCTGCAGGCCGACGCTCTATCCACTGAGCCAAACCGGTTTCGGCATAGACCTGCTTTCTGATGTAGCTAAACTTTTTTCTAGCCCAGTGAAGCACCCAAACTTCTCTTTCAGGTAATTGTCAGCAACACAGCAGTAAATATCAGCCTGAAGCAGATTATTATTGTAGATCACACAGAGAGACAAAGGGTTACATACTTAACTGCAGCAGTGTTTGACTACATTCTGCGCAGTGAGAAAACCTGGAGTCATTTTCAAGTTCTCACATTTCTTATTTCCTTTCAGTCGGGTCAAGTTTCTAAGCTTTCTAAATCTCTGTTTTCCGGCTAATGAAAAGAAAGTAGGATTCCACCAAATCTCCTATCTACCTACTCCAGGACTTCTGTGAGGATCAAATGAGATGAGGCACAGGAAAACGCTTCACAGACATTTGGTTACAGTGTAAAATGTTTGCACCTGGCTATAAAGCACGTCATGTTCCTGGGCTAAAGAAACCACAAGGAGGCTAGTCACTAGGGAGAGGAAGCCGGGCATTGCTACGTGATGTCACTACCCAGATGGACCCTTAGCATATTAGCCTTTTATATAGAGAGATGACCTTAGAGGTCAACCTATGAAGAGGGGTTACATCACTTTTCTTCCTGTCTCTTGTCTCTGGCATCTGAGGAAATGACACTCAGAGGTTCAGTGTATCCCAGGCTTTGTCACTCTCGAGTCAGAAGATGAAGCAAAGCTGGCCAGTGTGCTGCAGAGGCCATGCCACGGCTCCATTCCGTGTCACCTGCTGCCACGGTCCCAGAGGTGACCCAGTTACAGCTCGCCCTCATGGGGCCTGCAGTGTGGGGCAATCCTTCCAGAAGAAGCAGTTGTGGGTTCAAGTTGAGGGTTGCAGGGAGAGGGGTGCTAGCCCTAGTTGAGCAGTCTGCCCCTTTCCTGTGCAAGACGGGCTGTGCAGGCGGGAGATGGCATTCCAGGGGGAGGGGGTCCCAAGGGGAATGGGTTCCAGGGGGAGGGGGTCCCAAGGGGAATGGGTTCCAGGGAGAGGTGGTCCAAAGGGAGGGGGTGTCAGGGGGAGGGGGTCTCAGGGGGAGGAGGCTCAGGGGAAGGGGTCCTAAGGGGAGTGGGTCCCAGGAGGAGGGTGTCACAGGGAGAGGGAGTCCCAGGGGGAGGGGGTCCCAGAGGGAGGGGGTCCCAGGGGGAGAAGGCTCCAGGGGGAGAGGATCTCAGGGGGAGGGGTCTCAGGGGGAGGGGGTCCCAGGGAGAGCGGGTTGCAGGGGCAGCCAGTGAGGGGCTCAGGAAACAAAGGCGAAGGACGAGGGTGGAAGATGGGTGGGGAAGCAGAATGCCTGTTCTGACACTGACACTGACGGAGGGAAACCAGGCTGCCAAGCTCAGCAAAGAGGTGGGACTGAAGGCGCTCCCAAAGAATCTGAGCGGAAACGCTGCCACACCGCTTCCTCCCCCTCCACACGGCCTCCTCCAGCGCCCGGGGGGCACAGGCCGCCTTCCCAGGGAGGGCAGGGGGCGCGCAGATCTGGCCAGGGTGGTGCTGTCCGGGCCAGGCATTCCAGCTGCGGGCAGACAGCAGCAGGCCACGCCCGCTGGGCTCCCGTACACGCCCCGTGCAGCTGGCTCCGCGAGCAGCTTTCCTCTGAGAGGCCACCCCCCCCTCCCCCGGACTTGGACACACTGAGGCCGGTCAGGGGTTGGCTCCTCTGGAACGAGACGGGGCTGTTCTTAGGCTCTGCCCCGCCATCTCCACTGCGGCAGCACCAGGGAGGCTGTGCCTGCCTACAGCCCCTCCCAGCGCCACCCTTTCCTGCCAGTCACTCCCCAGAAGCCCTCCAAGACTGGCCAGCAGCACTTCCTTCTGGCCCTGCCCTCTCCCTGGGTTTACAAGGCTCAGTTACGTGCTCTCACACAGCTAGTGCTGCCCAGGATTCCCCTTTGGGGCTTTCCTTCTCTGTCTGCGTGTTCCACTGGGCTTGGAGCCTTTAGGAACAGGGCCCAGAGCCCTCATCGCCCTCATCGCCCTCATCGCCCTCATCGCCCTCAGCCCACCGCTTTGCGGCCGCCCCAGCGGCTTCCTGGGCCCTGTGCTGCACCCCCTCACCCTCTCCGCACCCTGGGTCTCAGCATGGGGCTACGGGAGGGGCAGGGGGAGTGCCTGGATGTGAAGGACCCTCAAGGCAGGAGGGGGTGGGGTGGAGGGGTGGGGGGACAGAGCAGAAGCTCCAAAGGACCACGTGTTAGCATTTGCAGTCTGGAAACTGCCAGGCCAGCTGAGGGAGCGCCTGAGACAGGGGCGCCTGGAGGCAGCTGGCTCAGAGGCCGGAGGAGGAGAAGGAGGAGGAGGAGGAGGAGGAGGAGGGGGAGGAGGAAGAGGAGGAGGGGGAGGAGGAGGAGGAAGAGGAGGAGGGGGAGGAGGAGGGGGAGGGAGGGAGAGTTTCACGTTGGCTGGCCTCCCGCCTTGCAGGGGCGCCGCAGCCCTCACCTATGTTTAGTGAACTTCGCTGAGTGGCCGGGGCCAGAGCCCCGCTGGGCGCTGGGACACTGGCCGGATCCTAACCTCCCCTTGGTCTGCGGGGTGGGCTCCCGTGGCGGATCTGCTGGCAGTGCGCTCACGGAGCTGAGGGCCCTGCGGCCACAGGGGCTGCGGGAAGGGGCGCTTCCCGCCGGGGCCTCGGACAGCAGCCGCAGCCCCCGTCTCCGGAGTCACCGCGGCCGCCTTCCCGGCTCCACGGACAGTGACCAGCCACCTCCCTGGAGGCCGCTCCCGCTCTGGCACCCGCCCCAGCCACCGTCCACCCAGCCACGGCCGCCGGTGCCAGCGGTTCCTCCGGTGTGCTGCGCCCGAGGCCCACGCTTTCTGCTGCTTCCAGGAACGAAGGTCCGTCCACGGCCATCGGACATGCTGCCTCCGGGCAGCACCCCTGCTGCTCACGGCCCAGCCTGGCCCGGTGTCTTTACACTCAGCACTGAGCAGCCCTGTGCCAGGCTCCGGCCATGCCACGGCCACGAGCCTCAACTTCATCCTCAACGTGGACAACCTCCTGCGGAGAGGGGCTGGCACATGAGCACACCCATCGCGACGAAGGCAGATGTTTGCTAAGCAGCTGTGGGCAGTCTGGAGGCACAGCCGCAGGCCCAGAGGGCACAGTGGCACAGAGGGCGCACATCTGAGCTGGGACCAGCGGAAACGAGGGGAGGGTGCTCTGAGCAGAAGGAAGGCATGACGTCTGGAGGAGTCTGGCCTACACCGGAGAACAGACCGCACGCAGGAGCCTGAACCCAGCTAGTCAGAGGCAGCGGTAGCCGAGCCTGTGGCTGCAGGGAGTTCCTGGCTCAGCTCAGTCACAGGGGAGCCTGGCAGGGTGCCTGCAGGTCACACCCTGCCTCCTCGGTGGCAGACCGGGGCCTCCTTCCTCTGCTCGTTTGCTCAGTCAGCACCTCCCCCAGACTTGCCCTGATGAGTAAGAGCCGGAGCTTTACTGGAACCTCTTGGGAAGAACTCATTTCCGGGCGGGACAGGAGGCCATCGCAGAGTGAGCAGCGTCACTCATGCGGGGCAGGTGGGCCGGCATCAGTCAGAGCTGGAGCAGCTGGCGCCACCCAGGGCTGCCTCCCTGCAGCGGGAGCCACTGCATCGCCGGGTTTTCTGGAGACTCCTGGTCCCGGATGAGCCTACCGCCCTTATACTCGTCAGACACACAATGCTTAGATAACAAGCGCAGTCTACGGAAATGTGTGACTTATTTAAGGTTCCACAGCAGGTAGAAAATGGAGCTCTCCAGAGAGCCCACCCCCCACCAGATTTTTAAAATCACAGCCCTCGGGATTTATTCTTGGGATGCAAGGTTGAGTCAATATCTGCAAATCAATTAACCCCACATTAATAAAAGGAAGGAAAAAAATCATCTGAATATATCAATAGATGCCGAAAACACATTTGACAAAATCCACCATCCATTTATGATAAAAACTCGCAGCGTAGTGGAAATAGAGGGAACACGTAATAAAGGCCATATATGACAAACCCACAGCTAACTTCATACACAATGGGGAAAAGCTAAACGCATTTACCTTAAGACCAGGAATAAGAGAAATATTCACCTTCACCACTTTTATTTAACATAGTAGTGGAAGTCCTACCCAAAGCAATTGGACAAGGAGAAGAAATACAAGTCATTCAAATTGGAAAGGAAGAAGTAAAACTGTCATGACTTGCAGATGACATGATACTTATTACACAGAGAACCCTAAAAATTCAACCAAAAAACGACTGGAACTGATAGATGGACTTAGTAAAGCTGCAGGATAAAAAATTAATATTCAGAAATGACTGCATTTTTATACAATAACAAACTAGCAGAAAGAGAAATTTAAAAAAAAAACCAACCAATTCTACCTGGGGTGATAAACACAAAATACAATATTCCTGAAACATGTATAATTTTATTAACCAATGTCATCCCAATAAATTCAATTAAATAAAAATAAAAAAAGAATCCCAATCACAATTGCATAAAAAATACCTAGGATCCCTGGCCAGTGTGGCTCAGTTGGCTGAGCTTTGTCCCATGCCTGGGTCCTTTCTGGGGTCAGGGCACAGGCCCGGGTTGTGGGCTTGATCCCCAGTAGGGAGCATGCAGGAGACAGCCAATCAATGTTTCTCTTTCACACTGATGTTTTTTTCTCTCTTCCCTTCTCCTTCCCTCTCTAAAATCAATAAAAATGTTATTTTTAAGATTCTAGGAATAAATTGAACCAAGGAGATAAAAGACTTGTACTTAGGAAATT